CCTGCCAGGGCCACAGTCCCTTGTCAACAATACAATGCGTGGCACATCCGCGAGGCCGCCGCGCGCATGTCGAAATCCTTCCAAGCACGTTGTGGTTTCAACAATTTCAAGGCCAAGCTTCATGAAATCACACGAATCGTACAATACGTCCTCGATCAAAAAACCTGCGAAATAATAAAAAAGTCTACCCGCGCGCGCTTCCCGAATCTTAAAACACCAAATTGGTTTTTCAATAGTTCGGTCATGCGAACAACTTTTGCGCGCGCGTCGGACTCCTTCAACATCGGTCGCGCGCTCGCCAGGGCCACAATCCCTTGTACAAAACACCATGCGGGGCACATGCGCGCGGCCGCCGCGCGCGGATGCCGGAATCCTTCTCGTCGTCGTCGTCGGCGCCGTCGTCGTCGTCGACGTCGTTGGCGACGTCGCCGTCGTCGTCGTCGTTCCCGTCGTCGTCCTCCCTCCTCCCTCGCCGTCGCCGTCGCCGTCGTCAGCGTCCAGAATCTCTCGACTCACGTCTTGTTCGCCAGAGCTCTCCACCCCCTCGTCGTCGTCCGTCGTCGTCGTTGTCGTCGTCGTCCTCCTCCCTCGTCGCCGTCGTCGTCGTCGCCCTCCCTCGTCGTCGTCGTCGGCGTCGCCGTCCTCCCTCCTTCCTCGTGATGGCCGTCGTCGTCGTTCTTCGTCCTCTTCGTCGTCGTCGTCGTCGTCCGTCGTCGTCGTCCGTCGTCGTCGTCCGTCGTCGTCGTCTTCGTCATTCTCCTTCCTCCCTCGTCGCCGTCGTCGTCGTCGTCGTGTGCTCTCCTCCCTCGTCGTCGTCGTCGTCGTCGCCGTCCTCCCTCCTCCCTCGTCGTCGTCGGCGTCGTCTTCGTCGTCGTCGTCGGCGTCGTCGTCTTCGTCGTCGTCGTCGTCGCCGTCGCCGTCGTCGTCGTCGTCGTCGTCGTTGGCGTCGTTGGCGTCGGCGTCGTCGTTGTCGGCGTCGAAGTCGTCGGAGTCGTTGTCGGTGGCGTCGTCGTCGTCGGCGGCGTCGTCGTCGTCGTTGTCGCTGTCGTCGTCGGCGTCGGTGTCGCTTCCAAGTGTCATTTGGTACCTACCGTCACGGTCTTAAAAGGTCTTGCGACCAAATTACGGGTGGGAGGGTCGGATGTTTGCGCGAGCAGTGGAGAGGACAGTTTCAAGACAGTCAAAGTGAATTGCACCACGTAGATTCCACCACATTTGTTGCATGACGTAGAGTGTACAAAATAGATTGCATCACATATATGGCACAATATAATGCCTCGCGTCTAATTCACCTTGTATAATGTGCAGCATAGAGCGCTCCACATAAATCGCACCACCTTTGGTGCACAGCATCGATTGTACCACGGAGACTGCACCACATATATTGCACGACCTATGTTGCACAGCATTGATGGTACAGCATAGATAGCACCAATTATATAGCACAACCTAAATCTCACCACGTAGACTGCACCACATGGATTGCACCACACATCTTGCACTACATAACTTGCTCTACATATGTTGCACCACGTCGTTTTCAGTTCATGTACCGAACCACCTTTTACTGCACAACCTAAAGCGCGCATCTTCGATTGCTCGATAGTGAGTGCGCAACATAGATTTGATATTGTAGATAACACCATGCATATACATTCATTTTTACGGCAGAACGTACATTGTACCACATATAGTGTTCCACACAGTTTGCTTCACATAGATTGCACCACATAATTCGACTGCCCCACATGATTTGCACCACATGGGTTACACCACGTAGAGTGCTCTGCATAATTTGCACCGTGCAGATCGCACCACATATATTCTCCTTTCTAAAAAGAGAATACAGTCTACCACCACCCCCGGGACGATCCGCCCCCCTCTATTGCAACGTACATACGATTCTGCCCCATCGCCCATCTTAAATGTGAATTCGCACCATCCCAGCCGAGCCAGTATCCGCCCCCCGAGGGTGGGGGGTAGCGCAGTCGAGGAACCGCAAAAAAGGGCGTCAATATGTTTGAAACGTTTGGCGCCTGGTTTTCGGGCCTCGGACGACCCCTGCCTAGATCTACAGCGCATGACGCAGAACAGTCCCAGCACTTCCGTGGCAACCTAAACGGTCATGCCAGAGCGCGCGCAGCAATCAAAGGTCGTGGCAGTTTTACACGGTCGTGGCAGCCCAACCAGTCGTGGCAGCTTTACAAGGTGGTGGCAACCTAAACGGTCGTGGCACTTGCGTGGCAGCCTAAACGGTTTTGGCACTTGCGTGGCAACCGAAGTGTAACAGTTGTCCAGCACTTCCGTGGCAACCTAAACAGTCGTGGCAACCTAAGTTGTCATGAGGCCTCGTGGTCAAATCCGAGCGTTCATTTGACCTCATACAGCCTCCCATGGCCTCCTGATCATTGCGTGGGGTTCGCGCGCGGGCATCGCCGCAATGTCCAACCGGCGGGGTTCTGAAAGCATTGGTGGTGTGGGTGCGTATGTTTGTTGATCTGGGCGTCTCGGACCTGTCGAATCTTCGGATGACGATTGCGGTGACGTGTCTGGTGATAAAGTGGTGATACTGTTGTGGTCAAGTGGTAATATGTTCAGCGGAGGCGGGGCCCTTCGGATTGTGCCTGTGTATTTTGGAGCAGATAAAAAATATCACCCCGATTTCCCGGGCCGGGCAGGTCCTTGATGCTTATGGTTTTTTGTTGCCTGCGTCAGGTTCTGGCCGTTTTTTCACCGACCTTTCCCGGGCACATCCCGACTTGCTGATGCGGGGAGGAGAAGGGGGAGGTTGGGAGGGAGATGGGTTGGAGGCGGGGCCGAGGAAAAGCGCGGAAGTGGTGGAGGGTGGGCAAGGGATGGAGGCGGGAGGCAAGGAGGCGGCCAAGGGACATAAAAGATGGTGTAAACAGGATAATTAGGGGGATTGAGTTCGGAAGGTCAGTTTTTCAATGCAGATAAGGGTTTCGACTTTCAGCCAATTCTGTCAGCACCTCAGGGGCATCAATTCAAATTCGCACTAAAACCCACCCGTTGCCTGCTTCGGCAATCACCTTCCGGACCTGACGTCGGCTTCATGCTCGTGCTCAGAGGTCCCCTTGGGGTTCTTCTGGGGCCCATCCCGGAGCCATCTCACCGTGCTGTGGCGACCCGGTTGTTCTCGTCACGTCAGCTGCCTGCCACCGCAGCCTCATAGACTCATACGGAGTCCTCGCAATTCCAGGGTCCGAGATGCCTTGTGCTCAGGCAGCCAGACCACTTTCGCCTCAGACATCCTCACAGCTCTGACCTTGGAGATGCCCTGCCCATGATGGTGCGGTTACGTTCGCCTGAGACATCCTCCCAACTACATTTTCCCAAATGTTGGTTGAGCTGAGTTGGTCTGGCCACTTTCGCGTGAGAGGTCCTGGCAGCCCTGACTCGCAGATGCACTGCCCCATGGTGGTCCAGCCGCTTTCGCTTGAGACATCGATCGCAGCTCTGGGTTTCGAAATGCCTTTAGCCGAAGTGGTGAGGCCACTTTCGCCTGAGACACCCTCGCAACTCTGAGTTCCGAGATGCCTTGGCTTAAGGCGCAAACAGTCCCCGCA